AGGGTAAATGCTGCCACACTGATGAGGTTTAAGCATGTGCCACTTTTGTTGGGAGGAGCAGGGTATAAAGGTATACATGTAGGACACATAGAATAGTTATCAGCAAAAGAGTTTATGTGTGGTTTTGCTTCCATTATATTTATTATTTTGTAGAGATGTTTGTGAATGTTAGACTTCTTTTATTGTTTTCTTATATTTATGTATATAACAGGTTGACTCTGCTTTTTTAAAATAAATAAGCAAAAAAAAAAAGCCTGTATGAACGCCTCTGTCATCTTTTGAAGGAAGTTACCTGTAAGCATCTGGTATGGTGTTTTGTTTTCTTCAATACAGGTCTTTAGACCAGACAATTTGAAGCAGACTGTAGCCATGTTTTAACTTTAAAAAGCAGATGGAAAACTTAAAGCAGTGCATCCTGACAGCTTAAAAACAAGCCAAGATATTAATTATCTTGCTGGGTGCTAGTAAAAAAACCTGCCTGGGGAAATAGGCACGCTTAACTAAGTTGTGTTGCAAAAGATCTCATTTTTTGTATGTGTGTATATATAGATATATTTCTGTTTTCACTGATTTTAAAATGAAACTTCATTCCTCTCCCCACGTGCGGTTGGTAGTTGGCTGAAACTCTCCCTGCTTGCTGACAAGCCACTTAGTTCCTTAGGAAAGAGGATACGCCTCGAACTCTCTCTCGGAGCTGCGTTGCTGCAGCAACCTTTCTTTCAGAACTGGTGCTGGTCAGTGTAACACTAGTGAGTACTGTATTCCTTTTAAACTGCATTTCCCGCTCCTGTCATTATGCAGAGGTCAACAACCTAACTACTGAAATGTTTCCAAAACACCTAACGCCTTCCGTCTTCCTTGGTCCTCGTCAGGGTAAAACTCCCTGGGTGTATCTCTTGGGGTTGGGACACAGAATACACACACCAATGTCACTCACTGCGACAGCCGGCTAATTCTCTGTTACCTTTCACGTGGGTCTCGTGGGCCCGAATACGCTCCAGATACTGCTTGGAAAGACCGTGAATGTAACACTGAGGTTAAACGCAAGGGGCTGTGCTCTTACACAGTTATGGCTGGGTACAAGAAGGAATGGTGAAACAGTATAGCGGCCTGTATGGCATAGCTAACCAGGTATTTTGAGACTGAAGATACAAAAAACCAAGTTGACCACTTCTATAGTTAATTTTCTGAGTTTAGGGGCAGACGTAATGCAAATGGAAAATTGTACTTAATGTCTTCCGTAAGCAGGAAGCCTGCGTGGAGATTGACGAAGAAGTACTACTCTGTTGGAAAAACATGCTGAGATTTTTGAATGCCGTGTCTCGTGTGATTTACACGGAGGGGAGTGTTAGCTGGTGAATTCATAGGAAGAACCGGGTACATGCTTTTGCTCCCATCTGACTTGCATATAACCCGCTTCATGTGCCAAATGCAGAATTTCATGGGGCTAATCTACGGGTGTTTTCCATGCCACTGCTCATCAGTTACTGTCGTATGTTCTAAGGTGCACACGTCATAACAGATAGTTCATTAGTTTTAAGAGTAAGGGAGTTATATGACGTTTCCTGTTAAACCTGTGAATTCTTCTGGAATGAATTTATAGCCCTCTTCTACCCTTCCAGCCAAAGGCCATTCCAAATGCTATATGTGGAATTTGTCTGAAGGGTAAGGAGTCCAACAAGAAAGGAAAAGCGGAAGCTCTTATACATTGCTCCCAGTGTGACAACAGCGGTAAGTATCTGCATACACCGAGCGCATTCCTGAGGGGGTCTGTTGGACAGATCCCTTTGTGGAAAATCCGTAGTGTGCTGCAGTTGCCTGCCAGCAGCTCGGCTGCCTTTGCTGTCCTTCGCTAAGACTCCACCTCTGTTTAACGTTTCGCGCGCCAGCACGCTGAGCGCACTGGGGGACCTCGCCAGGAGGCGAGCGAAGCCTCAGCTTCCGTAAGCGCAAACAGCCTTAACTAATTCTACGTTTCGTTTCAGATGCGAAAGTAATAATGTTGGTTTTAATCTAGGCCACCCTTCTTGCCTTGACATGACCCCGGAGCTTGTTGCTATGATTAAGACTTACCCTTGGCAGTGCATGGAGTGTAAAACATGCATTATATGTGGGCAGCCTCACCACGAAGAAGAAATGATGTTCTGTGATGTATGTGACCGCGGTTATCACACTTTTTGTGTGGGGCTTGACGCGATCCCTTCAGGTAATGAAGTGAGAGTTAATCGTTCCCTTCCCACCTCCTCAGAGTCCTGGGCTTTCTCTGTCAGAATTAATGTTTGCGTTGCTAATGGAAGAATAGTTTGAAACGAGTGTGAAGGGTAGGAGTCGGGAACGGTGCAGGAAAGCATTCACGCTGCAGGACACAGGGTTTTTTTAATAAGCTTTATTTCTGTAATCTGGTTGTGCAGGCTTTAACCTGGCAATTCCTGTATAGGAAATACAGTTGGCATTTACGCAGAATCTGAACAGGCTCACTCAAAACTAGGGTGTTTTTTTTTCCCCCCATATCCACAGAATACTGAGAATAATTGCCCCTTTTCATAAAATAAACCAGTAAAGAGGCTGTATTGCTGCATATTGTTGTAGTATAGCTCTCGCCTTAATAAAGTGTTTGTGCTACTATTTCAGTTTCTAAATTAAAAAGTATGCTGAACTTAGTATTTGTAAACACCTTTTTAAACTCCTTCCCATTTTTTTTCTTAAATGTGAAAGCTGGAAGTGAAGTACCTAGGTGTCAGGCAACCTGCACCTTGAAATTACCCGATCACTCGTACCACCTGCCCAGCTCAAGGCAGTGTAGAAAAGCTTTGGCCATACAAATAACACGTAGTACCGTTGCTTTTCCTGTAGTGCCAAATCCCTGGTAAGTTTGTCCATGAATAAGTATTCCATAGCTGTGAGTTCTGCACTGACAGTATTCCCTGCATCTACGGTACTGCGCTTGCACTGTACGTTCCCACGTGGGGAGCACTGGCACTCCTAGCTGTCGCTGCAGTACGGGACCCAGGGCCAATGGAAGTTTCAGGCTGACTTAAGGACAGAATGTAAACAAAACGGATTATATGCTTACAAAACTGTGAAACTACCCGAGCAGCCTTCATGCTTCCAGCTGTTGTAATACAAAGAGTTAAACACTTCTGCTCTTCGCTCAACCCTTCATTATCCCCCCCATAAATGAGTTTTGGTGATGAAGCCCTGTCAGCGGTTTAATCCGTGCTGCCTGGCTGCACTGAAGTCACCAGCGCCGGTCTGGGGAACGGGACCCCTCTACCTGTGGCAGAAGAGCAACGTTCCCCAACTGCTCTTTGCTTCCGCTCCACGTCACTCGTGGGAAAATACAACTCGCAAACCAAGTGGCCGGATGAGTCCTTTCCTAGTAACCGCCTCCTTGCAGCGCAGGCACTTTGTGAGGCCCGTGAAGGATAGGGTAGCCAGCTCTTGCCTGCAGTGAGTCTGCCACAGAGGGTGAATTTTATATGCTGCTTTTCGTAGCTTTTCTAAAAGATGCTCATGCCTTGAAGAAAAGCACTGGTTGCTTACATTCAAGGAGGTATTGCAAGTAGAGTACCTGTTGGAACGATGAAAGGTGCGTAAGTGGGTGAGTGAGTAACAAAGGTAGTTTCCCAATAATTGATAACTTTCTTTTCTTAGGTCGCTGGATTTGTGATTGTTGTCAGAAAGACTCTCCTGTACCCAGAAGAGGAGGAAGAAGGGGGAAAAACAGCAAGGAGGGCTAAAAAAACCCCCCAAAAACTTGCTGTACAAAACTTAACTGCACAAATCAAAGTGATGCTTTGGTGCTATTTAACCAACCACTCTAAGAGGAACAATACCACTTTTTTTTTTCTTTTTCCTAAATAAAGTTTTAATTCTGGCTATATAATGATTTTTTTTTTTTTCTGTGATACAAGTGACTAATCATCTCCTGTCAGATGTCTAGATAAACAAGCCAGATTCCTATTTAAAAGAGGAGGCTGTCAGGGATGACATTTAAATTGTGTGTGTACGCTATTTGTAGGAAATCACAGTAAGGTACTTGTTTGTTTCAGTGCACTCATCAGTAAGCTCTGCGAAAAGAAAATTACAGAGCAGTTTAAATACACGCTGTTTGCATAGCAACTGATTATTTTGAAAGGCTCAACCATAGCAAAAAAGTAATTCCTGGAAAAACTAACACTCAAGGAAGAGTGGGTTCACCTGACCTTCTTACAATGTACTGCACCTGCCTTTCAGCAGAAGTTCTCTTTGCAAGCTGATGACTTACTCATAGAGATGTAGGGGAAAAAAATAATCAATCCCAAAAGGCTATAAAGGGAGGTGTAAGAAAACACCCCTCAAGTTCAAGATGGTATGCGCGGTGTGGCTTTTAACAAGGAATGTCAATGTGGTGTTGACAAGTAACGGCAGCTGAAGGCTCACGCTCCCTGCAGCGGCAGTGAAGATGCAGCGTGCACCGTGTTCAGGTCATGGCTTTGCAGCGGCGATGAGTGACTGGGCCGACCTCTGCTTGACAGACGGCTGGCTCCATGTAGTGCACAGGCTGTCAAGAGACAGATCGTCTGTCCCCCTGGGTGGCCTTAGGTGCCTTTTCCTTCCTTCGCCCTAGGCTCCTTGGCTTCGATATGCTCAGAAGCCACCGCTCTTTAGCTTTACTGGAGATGCTTGCTCAGAAAAGGATTTTCTTTGTGAATATGCTCTAAATTGAGAGGGGGGCACTGCAGTGCAGCAGTTCGTGATTTTACTTTCTAAAAGAAAGATTGTAGAAAATACTGAATTGGAGTTGATTTTCCTAGGCACCCGTTTAAAGTGAATTTAACAAGATCCCAGCTGTACGTTCATTTTTAAGCCCTAATCTCTAAGAACGCTGCAAATACTGTGCTTGCTGCTCATTTTACATTTGGGGAGGAATTACAATATAAAATTAAATATGGCTTCCCCCCCCTCATTCCCCCACTCGGTTCTGGTTTAGGAAAAGTAACCCGAATACCTCTTCAGGAAATACAACAAGGAGTATTGAATATTACAGCAAGTCACTTATGTTCAATTCCACAGGCTGTAGTGTGATTTAGTCCAGCGTGTATCAATTTAAAAAAGAATTTCAAGTATTAATTTCAAGATTCCAATAAGTATAGTCCAGAAAACGGATTCCTCATCCTGAGAGTCATCTTCTGTAGCCTGTGAGTATTTCTGGCTCGCCTCCATCTCCTCAGGGTTGTAAGATGCCTCGCCAAACGGATACCGTACAACTGTTGGATCGTAGTACACCTTCATTTCAAACTCACTCTCCAGGTGAGAGGGATGACCATAGATTCCTATTCCCACGGGGCGCTGGAAGTGTGCAGGTACGTGAACAACGTCCTGGCCGCAAGTTACAGACTGTAACTCGTACTCGTCGAAGCTGGGGTGAAGCGTCGTATCAGAGACGTACAAGTCCGCGTCGCCTCTTAAACTCTGCATCTGGAGCACGATCTTTCCCTCATGATTTAGTCTCAAATAGCTGTAGTTTCCTGCTCCAATCTGACCTCGAACAACATGAAGAAGAATCCATTCTTCAGGTACATCCTCTTCCTCAAAGGTATTCACCACTAGGAGTACTTGAGCTGCCATAAATATTAGGATAACTCTCCTCCAGCCTGCTGCCATGGTGGTCAGTTATATTCTGGCTCTTCCGCTGCGCTGCCTTGTGAGTACAAAACAGAATCACATTTTAGCATATTCTATTCCTGGAAGGAATTGATGTGGTTTTTTTTTTTAATTTGATAACTTTAAAAAATCTGCTCTGGGCCATACAAAGTTAACCAATTAAGCATGTTCTTTACCCTTTTTTTTTAACAGTAACAAAAAACGTTGCAAAGATTCAGAGCTCTGTAGGATTAAAATGGCTTGAATTTCTTAAGTTGAACAGAAATTAATTAAGTAGGTGTTCTTACATCCAGAACTCACACAGAGACTTCAATTCCATTCTACCTGCACACATGCCAGATTTGACAGACACCCAGGAGAGGTGAAACCCAGTAACAATTTTAGCCTAGGTTAAAAAAAACCAAACAAAACAAAAACAAAACCAGTTGAAAAAGACAACTTTTGCATGCGTGAAGCAGCTTAGCTTTGTATCAGGTATTTATGGCATCCTGTTTGTTCTCCCACCCTCTCATCTCAACCTCACAAGACATCAGAGGTGCAAATGCAGAAGTACGCACGCAGCAGTGTGCATTCTGACTCGCGCTGGGAACGGGGTTAGAAATAAAACCAAGTTATCTAGCGAGACGGTACGTTAATTTACAATTATGCCAGGTAGACTTTCTATAACTAAATTTAGCCTATTTTTCCTGGG